ATTCCCTCCCTCCCGTACATAATTTATTTATAATTGTAACGTGAGCCATGGTTTGAGGAAGAGATTTAGCTTTAAGTCAGTAATTTTAACGCAAACTTTCGACGGATTTTCTGATTTCTATTATAAAACAACACAAATAAACAATTTTAAACAAAAAGAATAGTTAATGTACACATATTACAAATAACTTATTAGATACTCTGAAAACACATAGGTAATTAACAAGACAAGACGGATGTTCTGCTGTCACACGACTAACTCTGTATTATGAATTAACACAAATAAACAATTTAAAACAAAATGGTTATGTACACAATTTACAAATAACTTTAAAGATACTCTGAAACATACATAGATGCTCTGAAAAACTTAGATACTTCATAAGACACGACTGATGCTCTGCAGCAAAACAACTAACTCACCGTTGGTGGTGGGACACGGCCGAGGTTTGTCTGACTAGGGCTACATCCCTAAGTCAGCGAATTCCATTCGACTCGGTCGTGGTCAACACCAATTACCTGACTCTCTTAACTTATATAATTATTTACACAATTGCGGTCTTCAGAAAACTGTTTAGCCGTAACAGAATAAAGGCGCGGCCTTCACCGAATCCATTCGACATAATAATAATTACGAAGGAATTTCGAATACAACCGCAAAAGTTACATATTATTATTATTATTTAATTAAACGAAACAGACAGCAATGCGTTGGACTCGGTACATTGTTAGACTAGATTGGATGGTTGTCCGTGTTGACACGATCGCGTCGGAAAGCAGATAGAGCGAGCACTAGTACATATTGGTATATTATGTATGATTTAAATGCGCAATTAGAGCGACTTAAATACCTTATATATAATGTCTTCTAATTGTTTTTCAAGTTTTTCCGTTTCGGCTCTCCTTGTTTCGCTTTCTTAATAGAGTAATTGAGCAAAAGAACAAAAAAAAAAAAAAGAAAAGAAACGAAATTAGAATAATTAAAAATAAAACATTATATCTTTATTGAAATTAAAATATACCCATAACATATTTTATGGACTTCTTTAAACATATAAATTAATCATTATAATCAATAATAATTACATATAAGTAAAACTTACGACACTAAACATGTTTAATATCACATTATATTATAATAAACCTAAAAAGAAAAATACAAATTTTAAAATTATAAAAGCAAAAAAAAAAAAACACACGTATTGGAACCCTACACAAACATAACTTTTTTATGCACATACTTAATTATTTACTATCATAATATTGACCATTTTAAAATTAAATATTTAATTCATCTAAGTAGCTAATTAATTAAATATTTTAATTATAACTAAGTTACATCTAAGTAAAAATAACGTTAAACAACATATACTTAATATCACAATATTAACTATAAAACTGTAAAACCCAAATAAAAATGACAAAACTATACAAAGGAAAAAAATATCGTCAAATATATGTTGAAACATGTAAACTATGACTTGACTTTGGCTTTCTTGACTTATGCTGTGATTTTCTGAATAGCTCTTCTTCTTCGAGCGGCTCGAATTGCCTTCTCTTAAGTTGGGAGGATTTCTGGCTTTAATGAAATCTTTAAGGTTGTATAAACCTTCAGTGAACACTTGTACTGCCTGTGTTTTAAGGATTTGTTCAAGGGCTTTAGCTGCTTCGTCGCTTTTTCCATTTGTTTCTTAAAATTGTTTTTAATTGACATACTGTATAGCCAAATGTTTTAATTGTTTTTCTACATAACCAACTGATGTTGTTGCTGCTGTTGTTGTTGGGTTGCGGCCAGAAGCCCTAGGATAAGAGCAGTCTTTACCCCGGTGGCCAGTACGCCGAAAATTATAACACTTGAATGTTTTAATTTTACCACCACTTCCTCCGCCCCGACCACCACCTCCGACTGCGCCTCCTATGTCGTGTGACATGTGGCTTTATGTTGGTGACGTGTACGCATCTATGTTGGTATGGCGTTCTATCACGTCGTTGTTCTTTAATTCTGTATCCGTATCCTAATCCACGTATTAATTAAATTATTACAACCAAAATCTTTAACCTAACCGAATTGAACAGAGCTACGTCAGCTACCTATCAAAAAAATCACCCATAAGTTCACAGAATCGCAGCAGCATCGTATCAAATCGATCACCCTGAATATCATAGAGTATCGCAAACTCTATACGGGAGTACTAATCCAAGAATTCGGAAAGATAATCGACTGCGTGCATGGAAAAATAAAAAACTTTCTGGTCTGGCATACGATCCTAAAATAGATTATAAAAATAATATTGGCAGTATGAGTGAAAAATAACTGCAGTAGGAGGTTTTTTCGGACAAATAACGTGGTCCTAGAGTCAAAATACCAAATCTCTTCGATAATGCTGCCACTTAGTGTCAAAATATCAGATGATAAGCTAATTTCCTAAACAATAAAAAAAAAATTGTTTTCACACGACTTTCCTCCCTTAATACATTAAGTCTATACTGTATACATTTCATAGTATTGTTACTTAGTTTAATGTGCTTATACGAACAGTAATAGTATGTTTTTTATTAAATAAACGGCTGTACATGTTCTGTAGTTACGACATTTTAAAATTGAATTTAGATACTAGATGTCGTTTTTTCTATATAAACGCATAACAGATTATACGCAGAATAATCATATTAATAATATAATACCAAAACCTCATTTTCGATATTTTTGTAGTTACTGCCTTTCTCAGAAGTAGGTCAGAATTTGTTGCAGAATACTTAGTCCTCTTACAAAATGTAACACATTTCTCTTAAAGCGCCAAGATTATCAATGGGAAATCCTTGTAATAGAGCATCATCACCATTTTTACCATCAATTATACTTCTATCATTATATTTAACTAATTTAAATAAATATTTCATTTTATTATTATTGTCTAGCCAAGATGAATTTATTTATCTAAATATTTAGTTCTGTTGGTTTATTATAGAGTAAAGTAAAATTTTATCTTATTCAACTGAAAATTAAAATTAATAAAAATAAATTACAGAATTAGGGTATGCATTATTGATGTTTTTATGACAGCAATCTTCTTTTGAAAAAAGTGGTTATTCCTAAACCCAATTTTTTATTATGATTTTTTAATTAGTTTATACGAATGTTAAAAAACTTGAGGCATTAAGTATAATAAAAATATATTTAGGATTTTAAAAAAAGTTGTGAAACGATTTGGATATTAACTATCTAGATCACTACCAAATAAATGAGGTAAAATTCAAAAACTTGTTTTATGGAGAAAAAAAATTATCCGAAAAATAAAAATTTACATAATGCTAATATACAGAGTGACCACGAAAACACTACATTTTCCAAAAGGCAAAATAATAAATTTTTTTTTAACTTATGTAATATGTTTGTTGGCGCATGCCATTTATTTTACGGCAATTTTCGAAAAAAAATAATGTATTTGACTTGATATTATGTAATATTATGTTTGTTAGTGTAAGCCACAAGTGTATGCTATTTATTTTACGGCAATTTTCTTTGGGTGATTTGAAAGCGGCAATTCGTTCAGAGGTGTTACTAATCACGAGGAAGACACTAGAATAAGTATGGAAGAACTTCCTTGAAAGAATAGAAAATTGCCTCATGGAAGACGGACATCACCTTCCCGACCTCATTTTTGCTACTTACTTGTAAATGGCTTACACCCACAAACATAACATTACATAATATCAAGTTAAATACATTTTTTTTTCGCAAATTGCCGTAAAATAAATGGTATACACTCACAAATATATTAAATAAGTAAAAAAATTATAATTTTTTTTTTTGAAAAATTAATATTATTTTGCCTTTTTGAAAATGTTAAGTATTTTCGTGGTCACCCTGTATAATATGTAATTTTGGCTGGGCAAACTGACTATTTTTTTAACTAATTTCGTGAAGTTTAAAATAGATTTAATCTTCAAAATGTTAAAATTTATTATTTAAAAAGTAGTATTTACGTTAAATAGTTTAATCACAATGATTTTTTAAACTTTTTAGGTTTTAAATTATAAATACGGTTACCCAAGAATATGTATTCTATGTTTTGTAGATACAATTTCGTAAAACAAGTTAGCAGTGATGAACCACATATTATCTTTTAGTGAATATATATTTTTTTTATTTTCATATTTCCTATACTGGCTTTTAATTTATGAGTTTCTATGTATATATGTTTATCGATTAAAAATTGCATTTAATACATATTTTATACGACGTTTTTACTGTAAATAATAAAAATATTTAAATTTTTCTTTACAAGCGGTTCAGATATTGATCGTCTTGAACAAAAAACACATGGGTCTAAATTCAAAGGTATGCAGTAACTATTGAAGATTTTTTCCTGTAAATTAATAATTCCATGATATAACTGATTATCAAAATCATTACTGTATATTTAATATTTTAGGTCGTGTACCCGAGATATTTTTCTTTATGATTGTTTCATTGCATATTACTTATGTAGGTTTTTATTAAATGTTTATATTTGTTTATATAAATAATGTTATTAACAAAATATAATTGTAATGTAAACTTGTTCTATCATAATACAGTATGGATTTTATGTTCCTTATCCTTAAATTAAATGGCCACTTTTTTTATATACTGGTATCTCTATTGACGTGTCAAACAAAATTATTGTTTTTGTTGATTTCTTGTTTGTCATATCTTTCATAATGAAGTGCTCGCAAGATCAAATTAGCAAAATTACGGAGGACAGTGACTAGAGCTAGAAGTTGACGACTGATTATTTTTCATTATTTAAAACCCTTTAGATATGACTTAAGAAAAAAATTCAATATGACTAAAACCCCAAAATATTACACTAAAAATGTTTAAATAATGAAAAATAATCATTCGTTAACTTCTAGCTCTAGTCACTATCCTCCATAATTTTGCTAATTTGATCTGTCTAATCGGCTGTTTTACAACTGTTGTATTTACTTAGTAGGCAACCCAGCATCGAGACCTGCATGGCGGAAGTAAACACAAGATTTTTGTCTCTGGTAACCAATTGTTTTCAAAAAGACATCACAAAACCCGAAGACGATTTAACTGTGTTGGTACATTGGCTGCTACTGCAGAATAACTTCCAGGTTCTTCATTTTGGAAACGAGAATGTAATGGACCGAGACGAGCGACCTTCTGATATTTTGCCGGAAAATTGGTCACGAGGAGAATCGTATAAGCTTCGTTATACTCGCGAGAACAAATTGTTTATTTTAAACGGTGTCAAAGCGGGAGACGGTGTTATCTATAACTTGTATGATGTGGCGAATAATCAAGTATCGAGTGCCGCAGTTGGAAATATCGATAAGACTGTGAGCTGTCTCAAAGATTTCAAAAACAACAGAGAAGATTTCTCCAACATTGTCAGTTTGCTGAAAAATGATTTAATAGATCCAATGTACAAAGCAAACGACGATACACGTGCGGTAAGCACTCAAACTCATCCACAACACAAAGAATCTGAATCGGCTCTACTCGTTTCGAGGTCGTCGTCGTTTGGGTTCGACCGCAGGGATCCATTTCCGACGTACGGCTTGCCAGACATAGATCCCTTAGGTGGTTTGCGTGGACCAGGCGAAGGGATGATCTTCGATCCTACAGGAAACGGCAGAGCAGGAATATTCCCTAGGATTTATCCTAGTACACGATTCGATCCTGAGCAGCCGCCAGATGCTGACCCTTTTGGCAATACAACCTCAAATCCCGATCACACGTGACCACCAAGTTTCGGTGATTAATAATTTTCGAGGATCAAAATCTGATATTGTTTTGGTTTTTCATTAAAATGTCAAGTGTGTTCAAAACAAATTTTTACGTCACCAAATTTCTAAGTCGCCTGATTTTTCCGCAATGTTTGTGGACTGTAACACTCGCTTTAAACTATAACAACACATAATAAATTAATACAATTATTTTAACTAAATATTTAGTTGGCCTATTTAATTAACTATTATTATACATTTATTGTATCTAGGTATTAATGATATTTAATTTATCCGTAATACATTTTTAATTAATTCATCGAACATGAAAAACAATTGTGAAATGTTAAACATTCGATTAATATAGGTACCAAAAGTCTTTATCTACCTATCTCCATTATACAAATACATTTTTTTCTTTTAAATTATTTACACATTATTAAAATCTTAATGTTCATGTTGTATTTCAATATGTTAAAATCAGAAACTATTGAAAAAAAATTGATTCATAAATCAGACCAGTCAGCCGGTCTTGATTTAAACGGAATTTTTAATTTAATTAATTATGGGTTAAAAGCGTTAATACGATCATGTGAGTTATTTTATATACTGTGTACAATTAAATAGTTATTAGTTGTACTATAAGTATATATCACATTATATGGCATATAATAATATTATAAAAATTATAAATTATAATTATAAAAAATGTCTAATATTATAATAATAAAGGCACACAATAGTATGTATTACGACGGAAGTAATGTTTTAAATATCTATATTTAAAACGGACTGTAGTTAATCTAAGTTATTTTAGTAAATCTTAGTTTAGTAAGATTTCTTTAAAAAAAAATATGATGCGCAACTGTTAAATTCAGAAGTATATACAGAGTGATTCTTTTATCATGAATCAGTCAATATTTTACTGGGTTTAATTAATAATTTAATTTTTTTTTTATGGTTTTTTTATCGTGATCTCAATTTTGCTATTGTGATAGCAATTATTTTTTTGTTTTTTTTTTTAATTATTAAGAGCTATAGTATATTAAAACATGTACACTTGAATTTTTTTATTTTGGATGAGTAGTTACTAACTACATTACATACAAACATACATTTGAATATTGTGGGTCGGCGGGGTACCGTGTAAACGTTCAGCGCGCTGCTGATCGACTCTTAAGGTTTATTTCCACTAGCCCGGGACGTGTCAGGCCGGGTCTATGCTGGAAACTGTCCGGGTGCAAGAAAACAATTATCTATTGAGTTTTAAACATGATTATTCTCACTTATCCGTGTCAGATCCGGGTCGAAAAAATATCGTTGGCGACGATTCTCTTTCCGGGTTCCCGGAAGTGTTCAGCCTGGAACGGACATTAAAATAAGCAAAACATATACATAAAAAAAAATTTTTTCGTCCTACATATTATTTAGGAGCTAAAACATGTTTCCATTTGGAAAAACGAAGTCCGTGTTTATTTGACGTATATGGGATGAAGATAAAAATTGTCAGTATTAAGTTATAAAGGTATTGAAAAATATAGTAAAATATATACCTACAAGTATACAAAAAAAATAATTTTTAAAATACCCATATTTTCTGAGTTAATGATTGTCTTATATTATATGGGTCACTTTGTATATAAATTACAAATATAAAGGTCAAAATTTCGGGCTATCGGTAGTATTTACAGTAAGTATGCGGCATGTGTTTTAAAATGTATTATTTTAAATATATTTTATTGTTCCAAAAAGTCTACTATTTTTAATAATTTTATAAAAAATAATGTGTTTAAAACTATCATTCAAATCTTTCATTTAAAATTCGAGTTTAATACGTTTTTTTTTATATTGCAGTGTAAAATGTACAACAATAATTATCTATAAAGTAATAATAAATACTTAATTCTGTTCTGAATTTCAAACAATACCTTGTAACATATAATAATTAAATTAACAATTTTAAACACTTTCACAGCCTTTTTTTTCCTATTGCCATAGGTTCCCACATAATAAAGGTATCATAAATAATACAACAGAATAGATAAAATCAGAATGGATATTGATTTACACGAAGAAAATGACATAATTTACACGAGCAGCATAATATGCCGCCAATAATACTGAAATAATGTACTTTTTTTCGGTTTTCATTTTATACTTATCAATTACCACTATTTGGTTTTATATTATCAAACAAACATACTAAATTGCTAAAGATATTGTAGAATTATGTCAATAATTATGTAATTATTAATTTATACTTACATAGTATTTTTGTTTTTATTCTGGTATTTTTAAACTTATTATATGAATGAATTTCGATATGATATTTCAACCCATTAAAGTTTTAACACATTCATTACTTAGTATTATTTCTAAGTAACATTGTGGTCTACATTAAGAAGTTTTGATATAAAAATAAAATGTCACATAGGAAAAGCGTGGTCAACATTTAACAAAATGAGCGCAATCTTCAAGAGTCACAACCTCTTCTCTTGAAGCAAAATGAGACATATAAGATGGTATGTGTTCGCTGTGCTGCTGTACGGAGTAAAATCCTGAATTTTGACTGATGCCATCTCAAAGAAATTGGAAGCATTTGAGTAAATAAGAATGCTTAAGATACCTTGGACTGCTCAGATTATAGACATCAAAGTACTCAGAAGAACGAATAAAGACGCTGGGCTTATTAATATCAGAAAGCTCCAATACCTTAGTACACATTATGAGAAATGAAAGCAGATATTTTATTTTTAAATCAATTCACATAGAAACATATTTGGAAAGAGAGGACCTGGCAGAAAAGGAACATCGTGGCTTCAAAATCTAAGAGTATGGTTTGGGAATAGCAAGATCAGAGTTGTTCTGCGTCACAACCGACCAAGTGGGAATTGCTATGATGGTCGCCAACATTCGGAATTGGATAGGTAATTGAAGAAGAAGAATTATTTATTAACTCGGTGTAATAAGACATTAAATAGGTTATTATATAATTATTCTTTAAAGTACATTATATACCTATTTACAAAAGTTGTTAAAAATGTTTACCGTTTTCTTGCACACACAAATTTAGGCACTTTACTATTTCATTATTTGTAGCTTTTTGAATAATATTTAAATCTATTTCTGAGCATACTTTCGTTATCTCATTTTTCATTCCTCTTTATTTAATAATGTTTTACTATAAACTTTATTTTAAATGAACCCCATAAATAAAAATCCAATGGCGTTAAGTCAGGATGTTTTTTAAAACATTTTAATAGATGTTACCAGTTAGATTATCGTCAAAAAAAGTATGGGCCAAATATTTTATTATTAAATAGCCCACACCATTTATTAACACCCCATCGAACTTGAGATTTACCCTCTTTGTACAAATGAGAGTTAATGTTGGACCAATAATGACGATTATGTCGGTTCACCATGCCATTGTTGTGAAATTTGGCTTTGTCTATAAAACTTGTTTTAAATAAAATGGACCATCATCCATTTTAATTAACATATTAGCGCACCAGTACATCCATTTGTCCATTTCTGAATTTTTGTACATGAATCTCATGATATGAATAGAAATTATGTTTTTTGGCAATTCGTTGTGCTGTGCTATAACTAACAGCCATTTTTTTCTAAAATAAATATCAAATTTTTTTATTAATTTAAAATTGTTTTGTTTATATTTTATTACATTAATATTATGTAAAAAAATGGTTTTAGCTCTATCGAGTTTTTTATTATAATTTTTTACTAAATAGTTTAACGTAATACAATGTTAATTTAAAAAATGTTTAATTTTATTTATCATTTTTTTGTATATGAATACCTAATAGTTGTTTAATTTGTTAGTAAATTATGCCAAAATTAAAGATATGTATTATTAATTATTTTTCATATTTTACCTTTGAGTGTTTTTAATGATGTATATGGTTTTCAACCTAGCTTTGTATTACTAAGTAATTAAGCTCCTCAATAGCAACAACACTTTTTCTTTTTAATTCGATACTGATACTTCTAGCACGATTTAAATTTTCTTCAATACGACGAAATATACTTTTTTATAGTATGGTTCTTACATGACCAAATTGCTGAGTGTATAAAACTATTGAACTTAACTAATAATATATTAGTATAATAATAATATATTAGTTTTTAGTTATTACCTGTTACCGAGTTATTTTTGTGCTTCTTTTACGAAAGTCGAATTACAAATAAAAGATAATATAATAACTGTACTACACCAGACTCCAGAGATATACATTACAATATAAATAATCTGTCAAAATACACAGTATTTTTAGAAAACGCACACACACACACTTTGTTTATATATATACACACCTAACACAAGTCATCGATAATCGATTACAAAAACGAACTTGGAATGTATAAATAAAAAAACAAAAAGCAAGGCCCCCCCCTTTCTGCGAATTGCGATAAGGTCGATAGTCTTTCTGTCCACTGCGTGGTAACGGCCGACGGTATTATCGAATAGAATTCATATGCTTGTTTATATTCTACATCCTTATAAAAGTGCCATTAACAAAATAATAATATTTACGACAAATATCTAAAATTTTCTTGAAAATATAAAATGCATTTTAAAAATTTGCGACTAAACTTCTTGCCAAATAGTGATATTTCAACTTTGTGGGGGCCCAAGGGCATAGGTCCTGTGGGTCCGCCCCTAAATCCGGTCCTGGCTGTTAGTAATGTAAAACGTCAACTCATGTTGAGTTGTTTCTTATGTCCCGGTACTTCGTGCAATCTAGGATGATGTTTTGAACTGAAGGGTCAATGTGTCATTTTTCACAAGTGGGTGGAGGATTTTTGTTGATGAGGTACGAATGAGTTGTGAAGGAGTGACCGATTTTGCATCTTGTAATGACAACTTCCTGTCGTCTGTTGAGGTAGTAAGGTGGCATCCAATTATTTGTATCCTTCTTTATTGTTGTAAGCTTATTGGTGGTAGGAATGGCATCCTAATAATTTTGCCATCTAGAGTATATTTTATGTTGATG